GTTCTCGGTAGTTTCCCCATAAACATCTTGGCTGCGAGTGTGTTTGCTGCAAGCATTTTCGCTGTGTAATAGCTGAAAGGCAATTTTGCTATAAAAGATAAAAGGATGAAAAATAAGGGACATTACAGAGGACATAATGCAACATGGAAAATTAGTAACAAAATTAAAAAGGCTTCATTGCAAAAAATGAACATACATAGTCTTGGAAGTCTTTTGTTCATAATGTGATATTTCAGGTTTTGTTTTGCTTGTTGATTTGTTTCCACTTTCAGCATTGTGGGTTTTTGGTTTTTTTTCCCCTTGAAATTTCTTCTTTCATTAAGAGAGGTATCCTTTTCCAATTAAAGAATTGATGATTGACACTCTCCAAGACTGTTGCAAATTAGTAACTGCCTTTTTTCTACTTGCTATAGCTTAGTAAACTTTTGGTTTTGATGGGTGGCAGGTATCACCAAAGGACTTTCAAAAACTGGTATTTTATCATTTTCTAGTATAGGAGGTATTCTGGCTAAGATTTATACGATATAAAGATGGGAGAACTGTGAGAACTTTGTCCGTGGAGAAATGCAATACAATGGACAACCAGCTTAAATACATTAGGTCAGCTGAAGGGGGTTGATTTGTCAACGGAGAAATGAAATCTAACTATCAGAAAGTTATTTTCTTTTATGGCAAAATTGCCACTGGCCAGTTAGGTGGTGAAAACGTTTGTGGTGAAATGCTTGCAGCACAGGTGTTAACAGGGACACCACTGTGGCTGGTGGACATGGTCCCTGAAGCCAGCTCTGTGACTGAGCTCACCGAGGGAGGAAGGATCCGGGTGTGTCCCGCCAGCCTGATCTGCCACTCTCCTTTAAACTGTCACACTGAGTGCTGGTGTTGATATTCTAAGCTGCTGAGTGCCATGGCTGGAGTAGGTGCAGGGTACAAAGACCTAGACAAAGACAGAGCGACCCCATGACCACATCTGACAGGACTGCTAAGGTGTACCTGTCAGTCGTTACTCAACAGGCAGCCAAATGGCAGGACTGTCCAACCATCGCACCAGAGAAACCCGGTTCTCATTGGAAGGGCCAGATGTCTGTGGGAGCAGAAAGATACAACAGTGTGCCTGTTTCTCAAAACCTCAGTACGTTTGTTTCTGAGCATCACGGGGCAGTGTGTGCTGGTGCCGAGTTTCCATTTCGTGGTCGGACACTGTGAAGTACCCTCGTTTGCATGTCCCCAGTGTGACCTGAAGGGCTGCAGGTAGCCATTTACATTTTGACTCATGCCGAGCGCTTTGGAGAGGAGTCCCCAATGCCCCAGCCAAAGGCACTGGAGCCTGACTCACCTTATGCTTGAATTTCCTCTGATCAAAAATCAGCCTTTTGGCTGCAGATCAGGCGGTTGGATGATGAGGCCTGATGATAGGCACACGGAGGGCAGTGGCGGGGGAGGGGGGGGGCACTGTCAGAGAAGTAGGGTAGGTAAAAAGTAGGCGACAGTCTTGTGACCTCCAGTGGTGATTCCGAAAGCTGCCCTTAGGTAATGTCATCAATACTTGATATCTTAACCGTGGACTCGCCCCCACCGGTGCCAAAGCGCCCGTGGCCGAGGAGGCAGCGTCATGTTTCATTCTCCGCTCCCAAAGCTCGCGGCCACAGGAAGACATAAAGTTCGGTGGACATGTACTTTTCATACCAGACTGGTGGACTTGAGGGCTGGATGAGTCCCCGGGTGTATTGTGAATGTAAACCTGAAGGCAGTCTCATCTCCAGATAGTCTTGGGTTGAGTCTGTCAGAGGGAGACAGGAATCGGGCATGTGTCCTAAGACAGGGGAGCAAGTGTGCTCAGACCATGGTGGGGTGGCAAGGGGAAAGGAGGGAGAAAAGTCGATTTCTTTGCCTCAGCCTGGGCCAAGAAGCAGAGGGCACGCTCGACAGGGTGGGCAGCAGAACCGTCCCTCTGGAGCCAGCCATCTTGCTCGTGGGCGGCAGCGGTGCTGGGCGTGTGGGAGCTCACTGGACAGAGATTCCAGGCCTTGGGAGGTGTGGTTTCCTCGTGCAGGTAAACTGGGGACCTCACATCATCATTAGGACCAGGGAGCCATGATCTGTCTAGAAAACTGAGGCATAAAAGATGATCACAGATATATATACATATTTATATATCTACATATCTGCATATCTCCATATATATTTAGACAGGTATCTGTCTGTCCATCTGTCTATCCATCTATCTATAATGAGGGGAGTAAGGGGCCTATCCAGAAAATTATATGGACTCTCTACTTTTTTATTGCCATCGTTGCAGTTTTTGTTCCGAAACCCTTGGTGACCGGTGTAAGTGGTACAGAGATGCGGATTGCAGCCTAGGGAGTACAGCCAGTGATATCGGGATGGGTATGTGTGCGGCCAGCGGGTACTTAAAGCAGCGGGGAGACCACTCGGCTGTACATCTGAAGCTCATAAAGAAGACTATTGAATGTAAACTGTAATTGAAAAATAAAAATAAATTTAAAAAATTGCCTTGAATAACAGGAAGAACTCTTATCGGGGAATCAGGAAATTTGACTGGCTTCTACTACCCGCTAGAGGCTCATTAATTCGAACATTATTTATTGTTGCTAACAGTAAGCCCAAACAGGCACCGGGCTTGGGGCTGGAGGTGAAATTATGAATAGACACAGCCTACACCTTCAGGATGATTCCAGTTAGCAGGGGAAATGCGTGATCAGCTGGGCCACTGAAGTAAAATGTGCTGTGTGCTGTGTTAGGGGTGGATCCAGAGAACCACAGAAGCGCACAGTGAGGGCATTGCACCAGTGTTAAAAGGCAAGAACCGCTTCTTGGGGGCAGTCAGACCTACGTTGAAACTATGGGTATATAGGAGGGGTGGTTGCCAGTGAAGGTGCCTGAGGCTGAGTCTTCCTGGAGGAGAGAACAGTGTGTGCAAATCCCAGGAGCGAGAGAGGAGGCCTGGCTGGAGCACACGTGTAAGCGTGGGTGCTTGGGAGGGTATGGGATGCATAGGAGCTGGTGAGCTACGAAGCTTGCGAGATCAAGAGAAGGCACACGGATGACCTTGAGTGCTGAATTAAGGAATTCAGACTCTATTGAGGGCATTCGTGATCCATTATGATTTTAAAGCGGGCCTTCATCTTTGCACTAAAAAAAAAAAAAAAAAGGTCTGACTTTTGTATGGGGAAGGACTGGATAAAGATCGAGACCAGGGCACAGAAGCTGAGTTAGGAAGTTCCAGAGCGTTAAACTGGAGGGATGATGATGACCTGAACAAAGTCTGTGGGCAGGTGGTGGGGAGGAAAGTAGGTTGACGGGAGAAACTTAAGGAGGGAACCTCGCTAGGATGTGGGTACTGATTGGACAGGGAGTTGAGTAAAAGGGCCGGTAGAAGGACACTAGGCAGTGGGTGTGGTGCTGGGTGGGTACGGGGACCATTCCCTGACAGTGGACGCTAGAGTGGGACAGATTTGAGTGGGTTGTGCTTTGCAGCAGGTCAGGTTCTGAGGGGAAACTCTGCAATGGAGATTCGTACTTTACTAGGGAATTTTGTCAGTGTCTGAATCAAAGCTGCTGCGTGCGATAGAGGAGGACGCAGGAATGGGCAGGGGGAGAGGCTGAGCTGCAGAGCCATGACGGCAGGTGTCTCAGTCATTCCTACAGGGATTGCTGGAGCTGGAAAGACCTTTCAGAGTCATCCCCAGCTGGGACCAGGGGCCGGGCCTGGACTTTGTGCTACCGTCATCAGCTGCTCATTGGCTGAAGGGAACTAGATTCTGGGCAGGTGGCTCCCTTCAGCCAAGGGCAAGTCGGAGGTCAGTATTTAGCTGAGAGCTGCCGGTTGTCCACTGTGCCTGCAACTGCAGGTGCGTGTTGTTTGGACGCAGAGGGGCATCTGGGTAGCACACCGCAGTGTGTTAAGGGAACCAGTGCCTCTGGGCTTTCCTCTTTCTGCGCTCATGAGAGGCAGTTGGGCAAGTTGATCGCTAAGGTCCCTACATACTTGAACCTGCCACGAGGGTCATAACATTGTAGAACTAGGAAACGGTCACATTCAATCAACCTGATTAAACAGTTATAGAAATGGAGGCTCTGAGAGGTGAGGTGATTTTCATAAAGCAAACAGTGATGGGTGTAGGGATCTCTTAGAGTGCACGACTTCACGTCCGCGTCTCCCAAGGACGAGGGCTGGAAGCGCCTCACCTGGGCAGGAGAGGGAGCGAGGATTTGGTGGAGGCGCATGAGGGGCACAGCAAATGAACGTATTCTGCACTTGCTTAAAAGTGGGTCAGCAGGTTGAGACAGGACTGAGTCCTGGTGGAATCTGAATTGAGTGGTGGGAGTTCAGTCTATGCTCCTCGTTTAACTGTTCTACAAGGCCTGTCTCCTTGCTCCGTGTCCCTGTTAGCCTGCTAAGCCCACCTTTCCAAAGGCAGTCTCTTCAGTGCATTGATAAAACACTTGACTGGCTTGGCCTATATTTCTCAGTTGTCTCTGAGCTTCTCGGGAACAGATCGGCTAAGGACGTGCACTTTGCATGATCACAAGGGAAAAGCGGCATCTTTCTGCCTTGTGGCGGAGGTTCTGATGAATGCAATGCATATGAGTTCCCGTTCGCCTAGTCATTTGTCTTAGAGCTGGAGTGTCTGAATCAAAGCTGCTGCTATTGTGCTCTCTGGAGACAATAACCACGTCTTTGTTTTAACGTCTAACCACATCGGCTCACTCTCTAGCTCCTTCTGCAACCATAGCGTTGAAACCGTCGTATATCCTTGGTGTGAAGGACTCATGACAAACATAATTATGATGATGGTCTGACTGGGGGATTCAACAGTTATCCCCACACTATTCCCAGGTCTTACTCTAGACAAAAAGATTTGTATGGCTTAGAATCAGAGAATCTATGTTCTGTGGAATCTATTGGAGTTTGATGGCACCTCTGAGGTTATGTTGTTGCATGGCATGACGGTCTGACCCATTTTTCTGTTTTATTACAGCAAAATGTATCTATGGAGGGAAAGTGCTTGCAGAAGGCCAGCGGATTTTAACCAAGAGCTGTCGGGAGTGCCGAGTAAGTTTCAATCTTAGGGTCCCTGTCATCTGTGGAGAATTTTGGGTAGACACGTGGGCGTGAGACAGGGTTTCTGAGGGCAGCATGTTGGGCTGAGTGTGTCCCTGAGAAGGACTCTGTGTGCACTGCAGTCCAGCCACTGTCATCGTGTGGTTAGCTTGTGGTCTGCTGTGGGCCAGGTAGCCTTGGGAAAAGCTGCTAAGGGAAGGACGTGGGAGGGGGAAGGGAGAGAGCAGTTGCTGCGAGTCAGGCGGGTTGGCACGTGCCCCGGGGAAGGGTTGGAGTTGTGTAGGAATCAGTCTGTAATGGCAGCTGTGGACAATGGCACTTTACTCCCAAGTATCTGATACAGCATTAGAAAATGTCTCTGTCTCCTGCCTGCCTCCTCCCATGTGTTTCTTGAATGAAAGTGTGTAGAACCGTAGATCTCATCCAATAATCATTCAACAAACATGCACTGGGCCGCTGATACATACCAGGATTGTACAACAGTGAACAAATAAAATCCTGTCTTTATAGCACTGGCGGTCTGGTGGAGGAGACAGGCAGCAAGGAAATAAACAAATACACATCCAATATGATGCCAATTCTGGAAACGATATAAACCAGGCTGAAGGGACAGAGAGCTTTGTGGAGGGGATGGAGGGTCTGGGAGGGCCTCTCTGGGGAGGTGGTGTTTGAACCACGTGCTGGATAAAGTGTGGGAGCTGCCCCGCAGTTACCTGGTGAGGTGTGGTCCCAGGGATGTCAGCGTGATAGGCGGGGGAAGGGAGGAAAGGGAGAGCCAGCGCGGGGCGGTGCGCGAGGGCAGCCACAGGCCCACAGTGACGCATGGCTGCTTTTGTGTGGGGCATTGACAGAGACGCTGACCAGAGCCACTGTGTCTCAGAACAAGCCATCTTTGCTCTGTTTGTACCTGCTTTATTTCATGTGCTGGGGAAAGAAAGGACAGGGGAGAACGAGGCATTGGAGACCTGCAGAACCTCTCGGGAAGCTTGAATCCAGTTCTTTTTGGGGGACTCGGGTGGAGGGAAGGTTCTTCCCAGTTTCCTGTCTCTCATTGCTCGGAACCCACCCCAGGAGTAAACTCCTGTGAGTGTCCCAGTGGTAGTTCCCATTCACTCCTTCTCGCTGTCCCTGGGAATGCCAGAGAGTCCACGGGTCCAGACCGCCTGGTGGGAATGCGGGTGTGGTGGGCTCTGGGTCAGGGGGTGCTGTGTGCAGGGGCTCCCGAGGCTGTGGCACACTAGGGATGGTGTGACAGCAGGGTTCTGTGATCTGTCCACCAACCAGGCAAGCCCCTGGGCCTGGGATGGGGGAGCTGGTGGGTGGTCTACGGTCCGGGGCTGGCACATTACCACAGAGGGATGCTGGGCAGATCCAGTGAGATGAAGCATGTGAAGAGCTTGGCAGAAGTAAGTCCTCAATAAATGTGAGCTGTTCTTACTATTTCACAGGACCGTACATGTCGCTCCTGACTAAGACACATGTCATGTTCTCCATAAATTGTTTCTCTTAGAGGGGAGGGAAAACGATTTGGATTCTAAAACCCCTCCTTTTTTCTTCTACTTCTGAGAAAGCTGGGATGACTAAAGGCAATTTACCCACTCTGCTGATGACCCCAGTGTCAGCTGGTGACCCCTTTTGCTTTTTGAACAGAAGCAGTGAGGTGACAGTTATGATTTGATCTCTCTTATCATCAGAGAGGATCAGGGCAAACACCATTTGAGACATCTAGAAGATACTGGCATGGATTTAAAGGCCAGATTATTGGAATAGCACTTACCAGCATTATTGGCACATTATAGGTGACCTACATGCTTTGGTTCATCTTTTATTGTTTTTGTCTTTTGCTATATTTTTACAAGTTAGAAAGAAGTGGGGACAGATAGGTAATTCTCTTTGTACAAGTGTGCGTGTGTATGTGTGTATGTGTGTGTGCATAATTTCATTCTCTTTTAAAAGTCATTAATTTTTCATTTGCTGTTTTTCTATAGTTATTTACTAAACATTTAGTTTGTATATAAAGAGAAGGGTCATTGACAATAGTATTTAACATTCCTTGATGACTTAGCATTTTCTAGACACTAAAATGTTTTAAACATGTTACTTCATATAAACGCCCTAACACAATGAAGTAGGTCCTATTTTATCCCCATTTTACAGATGAGGAAACTGAGGCAGAGGAGCTCAATCACAGAGTGAGCAAGTGAACTGACTGGGACCTGAACCTGTGTCATTTGTCTTTCAGCCTCCCTACTGCCACTCTTCGTAGTGTTAGACGTATTGGGAAATAATTCTCATTTCGGAATTTTAAAAGAGTAAATTCAGAAGGATTGAATGATCACTTTTTAATCCATCTAGGTTCAGACTGGTCAGCCAGTGGCTCATCGATTGCCTTGGTAAAGGGTAGCCTTCATAAAAGGCTGCAGAAGCGCCGTGGGGCACGTTTGATAGATGTCAGCAGGGAGAGAGGGTGATGGGTACAGGAGCAGAGGGCCTCAGGTCTTTCCTTGGCAGCCTGTCTCAAGACTGAAGCCCCAACGCCCCGTGGCACCTGTTGTATGTAATAAATTAACCTCTCTCCTAGGCATTCAAAATGGCCCTGCGTTGGTACTGTCCTTGAGAGAATTGAGCAAATAATTACTCAAATAATTTTCTGTGATCTGAGATTCAAATGCATATCCCCAGTTGACAAGAAGCTGCCTGGAGATCCGTCCATTTTCATTTTCCTGGGATCATCTGAAAGCTTCGCAACACCAGTGAAACAAAGAACAAACTCTTGTTTCAAATACTTTCACCAAGTTTCCCCAGAAGTTAATACATTATTTTTTAAAAATCAAGATGAATAATATCTCCTCGCCATCTTGCTCAATTTTGTCCAATTATTGACACCCTGCAATGTTTCTTTTGGCCAGCAACACTTTTTTTTTTTTTACTTAGAGATGTGTATTTTATATGTTATTAGAACTTCAGGTAGAAGCACAGTGATTAGTTGCTTAAAAAGTATTTATATTTGACCAATGACATGGAGATGGTCGCTCTGAATAAGAAAGACAGAGGAATTCTATTTTGCCACCACCATAGAGCTCCAGGGGTCATAAAATAACATACTGTAATCAGGAGGATTAAAAAATGTTAATCATTAGATATGTCTTACTGGAGATAGTTTTGAAAATAAAGTTAAAAAAGGTTTGTGCCTAATTATGTGGGTAGCCTATTTGGATTTGTTAGCACTTAGCTAACTGTGATCACAGTTCACATTATTTTCAAATTCATGCAAAGGGGTTTGTCTCTATTTAAACATTTGGGTTGATCTTACTCATCAAATATGTTAAAGGTTGATTACAATTGTTGACTGATTTAATCAGCGAAGCAAGCCCTTTTTATTTGAAAAGAACCTTTCATAGTGATTATTTGAAAAAGTCTTCTCTAGCATTTTTAATATTCTTTTTTCTCTTTACAAAAGCAAATAGATACACTAGATATGAAATTTGGAATATAGAGAAAAAGCATGAGGAAGAAAATGGAAATCACTCCAGAATCTCATTACCTAGAGATAATCTCTGTTCATACTTTGATGTTTGATAGTAAGAATGAAACTGATCTTCTTGGCTTCGGTTGGCTTCACCCAGAAGCGGACCCTGAGCTTTTCAGTACAAGTGATTCATTATGGTAACTCCCAGGAGAAAGCAGTACGGGTATGGGGGATGCAGGAGAGGGAAGGGCAAGAAACCGAGCAGGGGAGAGTGTAGGTACAAGTCCAGACAGACCTGGATCCCTCTGGGGGATCTGGAGTGTAAATTATACTCCAGCTATTGTCTCTCCTCCAGGTGAAGAACCTCCATGCCTGTTAGTCACTAGCTTTGGGCCTTGGGAGATGTAGAACTTCTAGGTAACTCTGGCTCTCCGCATGGGCACAGAGGCTCCGGTGCCCTAGGGCAACCCTCTGAGGGTGGCAGGGACAAGCTATGGGCAGCAAAGCATTCAGAAGCTGGGGGATGGGTGCGCAGAACTGATGAAAGAGGTCCCACGGTGGCTGCTACTCTTATTTATGCAAGGAGGCAGTAAGTAATGAGTAAATATATTAATATTGAAGGGTAGAAGTGGAGGCCATAATGGTAAGTAATTAAGCACTGTGTTTCCCTTTGCACTGAGCTTGTGCTCCTAATAGTAAGGCAATTAGCTTCCACGGGTTTGTAATAATTGGTTTGATTCCCTGTTGCAGAAAGGAGGTACCTCTGATAGGCACCCTAGCCTTGACTCTGGTGCTAACTGCTGAGGCAGTGTGCCCCGAGCCCTGGATCGAGGCAGAATGGAGTGTAGCTGAGAAGGTGAACTGAGGGTGAATGGCAGAATCAATTCTCAGATCTTAGGGCCTGTTTTAAGATAGATTCACGAGAAAAGCAAGAGATCTCGTTGCCTTTGGAGAGATCAAGTATAAAGAACAAAGAGGAAGAAAAATAAAAGACACTCTAAGGAATGTTTGAGGTTGAACTGTCTGGGCTGAAAATTATAAGAAAAGCCAGGAAGCCATGGTGCACATTATCCAGATGATGAGTAGTTGGAAATTAAATTTCTATTTGACATTTGAAGTTATGTTTGTGCTCTCATTAAGAATGGATGTGCCTGATGGAATGGGAGTTCCTGCCAAATCAGTGACCTGTGGGGTACTGGGATGATGGAGTCGCAGAGATGGAAAACGCAGTCTCTTCTTCCTCCCTCTTGGCTTCCAGCTGCATCCTGTTCTCCCATCTATGTTGGAAATTACCTTTTGGTCTTAAATGAGACTCCCTCTCTCTTTTTTTTTTCCCCCAAATCTTTATTGTTGGATGTAAAATGTATTACAGATGTTCCACATTTTCCCCCCATTGACCCCCTCCTCCCCACTCCAGCCCCCCTCCACTTTTCCCACACTATTGTCTGTGTCCATTGGTTATGCATATAAGTTCTTTGGTTTATTTCTTCCCACCCCCCCCCCAACCCCTTTCCCTTTGAGGTTTGTCAGTCTAGCAATGAATTCGTGCTTCTTAATCCCTTCATCTTTTTTCACCCATTCCCTCAACCCCCCTCCCAACTGGCCACCAACAAAATGTTCTCTGTATCTATGAGAATGTTTCTGTTCTACCTGTTCATTTTGTTTGTAGATTCCATTATTGATAGATATGTATTCATTGCCATTTTGTTTGTTCATACATTTTCTTTTTCTTCAAAAAGACCCTTCATCATTTCATATAATAACGGTTTGGTAGTGATGAACTCCTTTAACTTTTTCTTGTCTGGGAAAGTTTTTATATGTCCATCAATTCTAAATGACAGCTTTGCAGGATAGAGTAATTTTGGTTGTAGGTTCTTGGTTTTCATCACTCTGAATATTTCTTGCCACTCCCTTCTGGCCTGCAAAGTTTCTTTTGAGAAATCAGCTGACAGCCTTATGGGAACTCCCTTGTAGGTAACTAGCTGCCTTTCTCTTACTGCTTTTAAGATTCTCTCTTTGTCTTGAACCTTTTGCATTTTGATGATGATGTGTCTTGGTGTGGGCCTCTTGGGGTTCATCTTGTTTGGGTGACTCTCTGTGCTTCCTGGACTTGTATGTCTGTTTCCTTCACCAAGTTAGGAAAGTTTTCTGCCATTATTGTTTCAAACAGGTTTTCGATTTCTTGTTCTCTCTCTTCTCCTTCTGGCACCCCCAAGATGCGAATGTTGGCACGCTTGAAGTTGTCCCAGAGGCTCCTTACACTATCCTCATTTTTTTGGATTCTTTTTTCTTTTTGCTGTTCTGATTGGGGATTTTTTGCTTCCTTATATTCCAAATCGATGGTTTGCTCCTTGGATTTACATACTCTATTATTGAAGCTGTGTAAGTTAGTCTTTATTTCAGTTAATGCCTCCTCCAATACTAACTGTGTATCCATGATCTCTAAACTGGTCCTTTTTTATGCTCTTGAGGCCCTCCCTAAGTTCACTGAGGTTCTCACTAAGTTCATTGAGCATCCTTATAAACAGTATTTTGAACTCAGTATCTGTTAGGTTTGCTTATCTCCATTTCGCTTAGTTCTTTTATTGGGGTTTTGTTCTGTTCTTTCATTTGGGACCTGTTTCTTTGTCTCCTCATTTTGGCTGCCTCCCTGTGTTTGTTTCAGTGTATTACTTAATGAGAGGTATGGGGCTCACTGAGACCCGATGCTGCTCGTTTGAAAGAATTTAAGAAAAACCTGAAGCAGGATCCAAGACAGGCCAGTCCTATGGTTAAGCAAGTGGCAACAGCTTGGGTGGGCTTGAAAGTTGGGTGGGGCGGGGCGGGGCCTCAGGGAGTCAGCAGGGCGGGGCTACCAGTGTGAGCCAGGTTGCTGGAGTCCCAGATATGGAGACTGTCTGCCGCCCCAGGGAAGGGCTCACCAAAGGAACAAAGGCCTCTGACAGCACGTTTGTCCCGGAGAAAGCCCCCTCTCCAGCCCTCGCTCCAGCGCCAAACAGCTCAGTTCTTCCCTGTATGTCTCTGGCGCCCCTCGAGCTGCCTCCCCTCCAAGCTTAGAGGGAGAGAGTCCGATAAGTCCGTGCGTGGGCCCTTTAAGGAGCTGCCTGGGGCTCCAGTCGCTTCAGCCTCCCTGAGCCTCAGTTCCCGCTGGTTTTTCCAGTCAGAAGTTATGGGGACTCTCTTCCTGGCACTGGAACCCTGAGCGGGGCGCCTGGTGTGGGACGGGGACCCCTCAGTCCTCAGGGAGGACCTTCCCAGCTGAGGTGTCCTCCTGATTTTTATCCGCCACACGTGGGTGTGGGCCCAGCCCGTCCCCTCCGCCCCTCCTACCAGTCTGGATGTGGCTGCTGATTTAATTTCGTAGTTGTAGGACTTCCATTCAGCTTGACTTCAGGCGGTTTTGAATGATGGTTGTTCTGTAGTTTAGTTGTAACTTTGATGTGGTTGTGGGAGGACGGATACTGCGTTTACCTACCCACCATCTTGACCGGAAGTCCTCGAGACTCCCTCTCTTGAGCTTGCTTCTTGGTCGACTTCAAGACCCTCTTAAGAATGGGAGAGAGTAGCCCTGGCCAGTTTGGCTCAGCGGTTAGAGCGTCGGCCTGCGGTCCGGAGAGACCCGGGTTCGGTTCCCGCTAAGGGCACGTACTTCGGTTGCAGTTTGTCCCCGGCCCTGGTTGGTTGTGTGGGTGGCAGCCACTCGATGTGTCCCTTCACGTCGATGTTTCTCTCTCTCTCTCCCTCCCACTCTATCTGTACAAAAAATGGAAAAATATCCTCGGGTGAGGATAAAAAAAAAAAAAAAAAAAAAAAAAAAGAATGGGAGAGAGTAAAGTGGATGGTTGTCCCACCACTATGCTGTACACCTGAACCTAATACAAAATAATATTGAGTGTGAACTGTAATTTAAAAATAAAATAAAATGCAAGTGGACTATGGTATACTTACCAAAAAATGGAAAAGAAAAACAACATTGAAAGTAAGGGACTCTCAAACCCCCTTGTATGATTATTGACGGACTGATTTAAGATTCAGAGCAAAGCTAAATACAGATGCTCATAACATCAACTGAGAGTACTGTTGGTGAAGTGAGGTCATAAAGATTCACCTGCTGAATATTTACAGCTTTATTGTATGTGATAATATTTATATTTAGGGCGAATCTAGTTCTCATTTAAATAACCCTTGTTAGTTCTTTCGTACCCATATACTTGGGCTCCTTTTCTGTTTATTCTGCTAGAAAAGTCTTTTCTTCCTTCTTCAAGTTCCCATAATTCAAGTTCCCTCAAATGTGGCATCTTCATAATTTCTCTACACTGGGGAAGAATTAATTATTCTCTCATGACACATTATCATACCTTAATTAGAGCACATTTTTTTAAAGGATTTACTGTATTGTATTATGGCCCCTAGATTAAGGGTATATATATTTTTTCTCTTTCTATTCAAACTATGAGCTCATCAAAGGCAAGGAAGAGTCTTATTTCTCTGTGGGTTCACAGTCTTGTGATGCAGTGGAGTACTGAGAACTCATTGTACGTAACTTCCCACCTCTGTGTTCAGCGATACCAGGTTGGGCGTTTGCACCACACAAATCAGCAAATACCACAAATGAGCCCCCCACCCTACCCAACAGTTGATTGTTACAATTCCCAGCACATCCGCGCTAGTGACCTTCTTCTGTGACATCGACCAGACTCAAAAACTGTTGGTTGAAACTGCGGCTCGTTGGGGATAGAAAGGGAAAGGCACCTTCTCCTCCTGGAGGCTCATTAACTTTATTGGCAACTTTGTCACGACTGGAATTCTTGGGAGTACTGTTGGTTATTGTAGGTTGTTATCACTGCAGGCTGTTAACAAGAGCAAGACATTGGTATCATCAACTAAAAGTATGAACATTTTTGTTTTCCTGTTTGACTTCCAGGGTGGAGTTTTAGTAAAAATCACAGAAGCGTGCCCTCCTTTGAACTGCTCAGAAAAGGATCACATTCTCCCAGAGAATCAGTGCTGTAGTGTTTGTAGAGGTGAGTGGGCTGGGGTGGGCTGTGCCTGGGCTGGGGATGGGAATAGTTTTGGGGCCATGAGGGTTTAATGAATTGTGGGATGATAAGGGCTCAGGTTGCAAATGCTCTGCTACTTTGAAACTTGCGTATCCTGTTTACCTTTCTCTGCTCTAGTCTCCTTAATTGTGGAGAGAGGATAATAATAGCATCTCTTTCATAGGACTGTTGTGAGGATTAAATGGGATCACGTGTAAGGATGTAGCATCTGACAAATGTTCAATACATAGTAGTTCCTATAATAATGATGACGATGGTTCCTGCAATAATGACCGTTATCATTATTATTATTACATATTTCTCCTGAGTGAGATTGGAAGCGTTTTTGTCAGCCGTTTCCATGGGCCAGTTCCCATGTCCAACAGAGGATGAATTACAGTAAATCCTTACTCGTAGATTTATATATAACGTTGATACTTCCTGCGAGGAAAAAAGGTTCAGGTAAGTAACACCTAATTGCTAATTAATTCTTAGGGAGAAATTGTTTTGCTTTCTCTTCTTGAAATTCTGTTCTTTCTCAAATTTATTCTTATACCTTTAAACCCCAGCTCAAATATCACTTCCTCTCTGAAACTTCTCACCCAGGCAGAACTAAAAGAGGAGATCTAATTAGGTTAGGAGGTTAGGAGATCCTTAAATGTATTTGAAATCTGAGAAAACAAATCCAGTTAAACTTAACAGTGATTGTTTCCAAAGCATACCCACCACAAATCCTTCTCCACATCCTCAAATAGTCAGCGAGTCAGATTCCTTTTGGCTTATTTTTGAAGCTTCTTTAGTTAAGAAGAATCAGCATTGTAGCAGTTTAGCTCAGATAACCTCATATTTTACTTCTAAAAAATCTTTTCTTCAGCACAGGGTTGGCATATATTTTCTGTAAAGGTCCACAAAGTAAATATTCTAGGTTTTGCAGGGCCAGAAGGTTTCTATTGCAACTGCTTACATCTGCTGTTGTATTGCAAAAGCAGCACAGATAATAGGTAAATAAATGCGTGTGGCTGTGTTCCAATACGATTTTATTTACAATAACAGGTGGTAGCCGGTGATGTGCTGACCCATCCACTAGCTCCTTTTGATATACAAAAATGTTGTACATTATCATAGAGTGTGTTTAGCTGAGGCTGAGATTTCTCTCTGTGGTTGGTCACGAGAGAGCAATATTTTGGTACCATTCCTAGCAAACCTTAGTATGTTGGTAGCCATGAGTGGCTCTTAGGATCAGTGGCATGATACCCATGCCATCAGAGTCTCCTCCCTTATTTATCTGCTTTCATGGCTACTAACCAGTGTATTTGCCACTGGGATGCGTTAGAAAGACCTAACAGTTGACTGGAGTTTTCAGAGGGATGTGTTTATTGGGAACTGAGAGGGTCATTAGGGAGGTCTGACAATTTAATGCAGAATCCATCGCTTGCCATTATTTGTTGAGGTGCCAAGTGGGACTCAGTTTATTTAAATCTTTTCTGATTTATGGTTTCATTAGAGCAGAATCATCGATTATCCCATAGAAATTCAAGAGGACTTTCGTTGCTCTGACCCAGTGTACAATAGACCAGGTGTTCCTGCTTTTGCTAGCATGTGAATGCATGTGCTTCTGAAGATGCCGAGAGATGTGACATCTCATTAAACAGCAGACGCATGAAAGGCTCCCAGCGCTGGCCACCTGGCGGCTTTCCCTAAACCGGACTCAGGCTTGAGGGAACATGGGAGGCAGGAGTAGGGCTTCAGAGATGAGATTGCAGCCAGGGCCAATCTGTGACAGTGAGGATTTTCTTGTTTTCCTCCTACCTGCTTCCTTCTCAGCCAGGAAGCTACCAACTCTTTTATTTGGCAGCTGGTGGTTTTGTATAGTAGAGAGAGTTACTTATGTACGTTTTGACAGGAACCAGAGCACGTCTTCAGAAAACATAGGGTGAGGGGCCGTTCTTGTGGGGAGTGGGTTGAATTAAACTATTGAGGTGTACGGGTCCTCTTGGGTTTCTCCTTTCTACTCCCATCCCAGAACTGAGCCTTCATTTTGATGAAGGCCCTTTTCAGCAGCACTTACTTTCATTACCTCTTTCTTCTGCGTTGACCCGTATCCTGCCCACTTGTCCACACTTGGTCCACACGCTGGGGCTTGCTCCGCACATCCGACCATCAGACCACAAAAGGCGTGTTTATCTGGGCAGCAGGGTATTCTCTCTCTCTCTCTCTCAATCTGGATGAGCTCGAAGGTCAGCTCTCTCCAACTATGCTCTGTGAATTTTATTCCACATCCCTTAACTCCAGTTTATTTCCCAAGAGTATCTTTAGCAGTCACGTAATCCTGTCTCACAATATTGTGGGGAATATTTTTTTCCCCTTTGACCTCTGCTTGTCTTTTACCTTTTCCTCCACGTTTATTTATTTATTTTTTTATCCTCACCCGTGGACATTTTTGCATTTTGTCTTCAGATAGAGCGGGAAAGAGAGAGGGAGGAAGAGAGAGAGAGAAACATTGATGTGAGAGAGACACATCCACTGGTTGCCACCCACACGACCCCGACTGGGGGCCAGGGACACACTGCAACCGAGGCATGTGCCCGTAGTGGGAACCGAACTCGGGCCTCTCTGGTCTATGGGCGGATGCTCTAATTGCTGAGCCAAACCGGCCAGGACACGATCATGTTTTGTGAGTGGAGTCTTGCAAAAGGAGGAGGGTCAGGACCATTGCTGTTCCGACGGGCCCAGCACACCTCTGCTACGGCGAAGCACTCAGTTCTTCTCTCCCTCCTCCTTTCCCCGCTCCCAAACAGAAGCTAATGAAAAGGAGAGAACACTGAATTTCCATGCACAGTGATATTTAGGCCGCGCCGTGTGCTTGGTGGGTTGAGACTGCGCCCCGCCTGGTGGGCAGCGGGAGAGCGAGGGGCGAGGGGTGGGCGCTGCCGGCCTGGGCGCACGGTTCGGGGCTGAGCAGTGTGCATTTTCAGCCGTCTGGTTTCTGACACTCTGATATTACTGGCGATGGAAAATGAAGTGGCTGCAGCCTCTTTCGATACCCGCACCGCAGGCCCTTCAATTAGCATATTTATCATCTCCTTGGCTTACTGTGCATGTCAGGTCATTAGTCGGAGGGAGATCACCCCGTGAGAGTATTACTCCTCAGAGGTCTAAGTCCAGACCTTTCTCACGCCTGCTCAGAAATGGAAGTTTGCCGAGGTTTGTCTTCATTAGGACCCGATGTGAAGAGGCTTAGTCCGGGAGTTTGAGAAAGCACAGTGCTTCTCACTTCCTCGTCCCAGGGGGCTGATTGTATGATATCCAGACAGCTCTTCAACTTTTTTTTTTAAAAAAACAGTGATTGTTTTAAGGATCACATTTTATGCATTGATTCTTTAAATGTAGGCGACAAGGCAGGTGAAGATGTATTCCTACCATATATTTCTGTTATTTTCTGTCAGTGACTTTGAAGGAGACTGTTCTTAGTATCAGCTGATCGTCTGTACATACTGCCTATGTGAAATCGTGGTAAAACCCGTTTTGCTGAGCCATGACTTGTTTCCTCAAGTTACACCTTGTTGGCTCGATTTTGCAGCTAACTTGTTTTTGCTCGAGTCAGGCCCACTTTCTAATAAATGGTTTCATACTTGACCACCTCCAGCTAACTAATCAAGAAGAGAGGTGAAGACGATCGCTTTACACCGAGTTTTTCTGTTCTTAGGAATTAGACCTAAGGCCTTAGAGTTAAGAATAACAGGCTCCGACTGACTTCGGGTATTCACTGTGTCAACAGAACTGATACCCCGACGAGGGGCTCGTACCCCTCGGGTCATGCCAAACGCTGTACCGAATTTCTCTGTCCTTTAGAGAAATATAAAGGTAATCAGCTGAACAGGTGGCAAATCCCCAGGGCTGTCAGTGCAGCCAGGATGCCCCTAGGGAAAGAACTACAGGACAGCCAGGAGGGAGGACATGCCCAAAGAATCAAGGTGACAGACCCTGGCCGAGAGCAGCCACTTTGCAATTGCTGGGGTCCGAGGTCTCAGTCGCCTGCAGCATCCCCCAGGAAAGCCCTAATCACTGCTGCATTTTTCTTGGTCGCCTCAGGACAGTTTGTGTGAGCAGCATGCAATGTGTTTACCCTCCTCATCACCTTGAGATTTTACATCTGTATATATCAGGAGCCTTTCTACTTCAGTGTGAGGCCCTGAGGTGGGGGAGGGGTGTGTGGGCCCGATTGACATCTCAGCGCCTGCCTGGGAAGAAGTCATAAAAGCATGCCTGTAACTCCAGCAAAAAAGACGGCTGGTGAGTTGCTGGCGCCCTCAGCTAAGGGGGAAGAAAAAGGCCAGCACTCTCGCCCGTGCATTTTCAGGATTCCCTCCAGGAAAACACACACCATTCTGCGCATCCCAGAATTCTTGAAACACTCCTCAGGGTTTCATTTTCCTTGTAATGGACTCTAATCGTATCTTCAATGTTGCCAATGACTTTGGAGGGCTTTTGCTGCGTGTTTAAAACTTTCGGCGTTGGGAGAAAAGTTCTTCCCGACATCTGTTCCCAGACAGTTTGTCTGTAATTTTAATTCATACTCACTTGCCTCGTCATCTGGCCTGGACTGATATTAGTTGAGATTATTTGTACTATTTAAGATTTTATGCCCTTCAATTAAATCCTCCCAAAGAGTCTTTTTATCATTTGAGGCGAATTTGTAATGGAAATGGTTTTAGAGAAGGGATTGCAGGGTATTTGAGGAGGAAAGAGGCTGGAAAAGAGGCAGTTAGGCAGTTAGAAAAGAGGATGTAATTTCGTGCCTAAACAGAGGGACGGGCAGTTTGTAGATGGGTCAGATCCTCTGCACATTGGTACATGGAATCTGATCCAACCCTGCAGCCCTGGGCTCAGCGGACACTGGATGACAGGGCTCCATACTAAACTGTTGAGGCCAGAAACAGGGCATTTGAAGGAGGGCAGCCTCCAGGAGACCATGAAGTCTGCGG